CCCGAGGCGACGACGAGAACGCACTTCTTTAGGGTAATCTTGTTACATTGTTACTGTGGTATTAAACGTTCCCTGGGATTCGAATATGACATCGAACGTTCGAATGTCCCCAAAGTAGTGACATTACGCGGGAACAAAGGCCAACTCAAATTTTACATTTTTTTACAACGAATTTCAAAATGAAAATACATCTGCGCAGTTTCAATTATGAAATATCATGATAGATTTTGAACGAATTTGATTCATCGTGTTTTTTGAAAAACGGATTACATACATAACGGACTTGTTATATGCACAGATATATACGAAATATAACAAAATGCACTAAGGGACGTCGCACCGAATTTCATGCGATACCCATTTATGTTGGCTTAGCTGCTTGTCCCTGTATTTTCATTTGCCTTTAGTTAAAATGCCCTTTCACTTTCTTTTCAGCACTTTACGATTTTTAAGTTAAATTGAACAGTAAAATTAACGATGCTGACAATACGAAAAGGTATTAAATTATGCAGAGACCAACTTTGTGTGAAAGTAACACTTGCAAGGAAAATCCAGGGTTCAAATCAATGTTTGTAATTACACAATTTAAGCAAGTAATTTGAGTGTTAACATTTGATTTTGATCAAAGAACCGATGGTGTTCATGTGATATCGACGAAAATAAAGTGTGACTGTGATTGACGTGAATAAATATTACGTTTTGTTTGTTTCAAAGTGCGACGCGCTCGTCACGCTGTCGTCACGCAGTCCTCACGCAGTCGTAATTTACACCCTTTTTGTACGTCGCGTGTTGATAACGACGGAATGTGACGAATAAAGCGCCTTTACACAACGCATACGCACATATTTGTTTTATTTAAAATACGGTATACGGTACGATGTGTTATATACACATATTAAGCGTAACAATATCAGGGTTGTCAGGATAGATCGTCCGTCGATCGCTTCTATGGTAACTTTAGTCATGCAGTTACTTGATACGCTGTCATGTCTTCGCTTTGTATAACTGTTATTACTTACAGCAACGTGATACTACGTTATATCATCGACAGTCTTTGCATAAATGTCTGCGAGGCTTATCACTAAAATGATCTTTCCCTTGTGAACATGTAATAATATTAACACTACTATGGCAAATTTGATTTTTACAGTAACAGTTACAGTTTAATTATATAACACCGATTTTGGTGTTTAGATCAATTTATTTAATCAGTATTTATATTGCACACTCGTCCTTATTTCTTTTAAGTTCAATTCAAAATCCTAAAGCTATGCTAACAAAATAAAAGAAGAATTCATCTTGTTAATTATTTATGTTAATTAAATTATACTACTTGTCATATTTTGTATGCACCTATAATTTAACAGTCAAATTTCTCTAGTAGTCGGGAAATCGTCTAAAACTGTTATTACCCTAACAAACTTAAGCGGACATCCGTTGAAAGTTCACCTTTGAAGAATGAGTGGCGTTGAAGTTAAATTTAAAACACGATTATGACTATATCAATATATCATATATGCTCATATTTACAATCTGTCATCAGTTGAAAAATGATCTCTAATAGACTTAGTGAGGTAGTAAGGCGTTTTTCGGGACCAAGTTATTCGATGTTTGACACTACATGCGTTTGTGATGGTGCTATACGCCACCCGATCATAATGATATGTAAAACATGGTGCGGCTGGCACTGCTCAAAATGGGAATAGAAAATAAGCTCGTGTAAGGTGTCTCTCAAGTTTCGCATGTTCTTGAGTCACCACATCACAGAGGTAATCACATAAATGACGTCATTCCAAACCCAACATATGACAAACATATTACAATAGATGGTAAAATTGATGAAAGACGCATACCAAAGCATACATTCACAGTCAAGAACTGAAGCCAAGCGTTTCATAAATTGTGAACATATCCTGTTCTCCGTGTAGCATCGGCCATGAAACTGTACACGTAAAATTGGTGCATTCTGAAGTCATCACAGAATTACGATATTTGTGCACAATATGCCGAAAAACTCAAGTTTACTCCAAAAATATTGAGCACAGTTTTTTTAAAACAAATTTTCAAACCTATTTTTTTTTCTTAGTGGTGGAGGTCCAAAATGTAGTTGACCCGGGGTTAATGAATGCAATGGGATTTAAGGTGGTTCATCCCAATTAAAGATTATATGCTTTATATTCTGGAAAAAGTAGGATACTGCTGGAAATATGTGAACATTTTGTATTGATAAACCTTCATTCATATCGTTTGTGACACAGAGATAGAAAGATGTACATTTGTGTTAAATTCAAAGCACAAATCTAGCCACGAAGCAGAAGAAAATGTTTTAATCGTCTCCTTAATTTCACAATTAGATGTGTATATCATTATTATATAATCAATAAATGAATAATTAATATCGTCTAATTGTTATTTCTGTTCGCGTTCTATGTGATTATGGTGTTTGGGCACGAGGGCGAAAGTAAAATAGAAAACTATTTGGGAAGCAAAAACAAGTCGTGTGGTTCTATGGCTCTCAATGTGATTTGAGCGGCTCATCTCAAATAGGGTATATTACGCCATAGCATTTTTCTTTTTTTAAATCCAGATTCATCATTGCAGAGCTTCTGCCTTAATACAATTTACAAGCATGCGATATTACATTTATACAAACATGCAATGATTGGATACGATTTCATTCGAACACAATAACTAATCCTATTCCCAACACCTGAAGATGCTGGCTATTATACGCGCCATACCACTAATTGCGTCGCAGAACAAGGACACCTTCAATTCCATTCTGAATTTCAATTTCTCCTGTGTAAACCTCGCAGGTGTGTTGGCATTTTCAACAAAACTACATTCTGAAAGGGAGCGTAGACTTTTAAGAATAGATGAAACATTAAATCTATTTTTGAATGCTGTTAACTTATTATTTACTAGGTCTCTAAACGCACAATGTGTCTATTTCAGTCCGCAATTCAATTCGTTTCCTCATATAGTTCCTTATATTAAAATAAAATTGCTCCACGATTTTCACAATACTTGATCGGAATCTAATTTTAAATAAAACACCCTTATTATAAAGCATTACTACCGAAGCCTTAAATTAAAGTACATCAATGAAGTACAAGAAACTGCTGACATTAAAACTTTAAAGCATTGAAATAATTTGCTAAGTCAGTATAGAAACTATGCGGCGTTCTATTAATGCTTAGCTACACTGCTAGTAATATTTCATTGACCGCCATAGATCGATTTGATTGCTTGACCCTTTAAACATACAAACACCGAATATTGCGTGATAATGGGAATTTCTCGCACACATCATTTATATATATTTATAATAAAGAGTATTTTATTTCGCACGACACGATTATGGTATAATACATTGTGTTTGATGTTTGCATAATTTTAAATGATAATGAGATATTAGAAAGATCGCAGCCACATTTGATTAAGCTATCATATTTTTTCCTTCAACTAGCTTCTTTTTATGTATTTTTCTATGATTTCCTTATTGATTTCGAACATATTGGAAATAATATCTCATTGGTTACAAGAAAGCGACAAACGTTGGCCTCCACCTTCTAAGTTTGAGAAGAGAAAGTGAAAATTATAGCGATAAATGATCTTGTTTTGTTGCTTTTTAAGGAAATATTTGAAAATAACGTTTGATCAAT